GGCTGATAATTCGCCTCAAAGTAACTTGAACTAGGTTCATCAACCGAACATAATGGGTCACATGATCCTGATGAGTCCATCAAATCCTGTGGAACAAATCAAAAATTCTTTTGAAATGCAATCACCAAACACAATGTAAAGATATAAACTTTCACTTTCTGTAGCAATGACCATCGATTACTACACCCATTTTAGTGTTCTTCCGGTTACTATATGAATGAAACTGATCCAATTAGAAAATCTGTAACTTGTTCATGAGTAATCAGCTAAGATTGCATCAAAACGGAAATGGGTAATTAGCAAAATCGAATTTTGAACAAGACAACATCGTGGAAACTCGAACCTCATCGATTGGTTCATCGAGAGAAGAAGGAGAAGAAGAGCTTCTTATCTTATCCTCGGCCCTGACGAGAACACCATGTTTGGATAACCTCGAGCCTGTAACTCCAGATACTTTCGAAAAGGAGACATTTTGAGGCAATCGGATGGAGATGGAGATAGGTGATGAAGTCGCGACGGCGTGTCTCTTCGTCAACTGATGCGGCGGTGCCAAGTGAGAGCCGATAGGTAACACCGCCATCGGCGAACACCAGAGAAAGAGTGAGAGAGAGAGAGAGATTTAAATAGTGAAGATGGAGAGGAAGAGAGAAAGTGATAAAATCTCCGGCCGTCCGGCGAAGTAATGAAGATACCGGTGGCAGTAGAAGTGTGTGATTTTGCAAATAAATATCTCAAATTCTGGTGTTTTTACTATCTAATCCTTTTAAATAACTAAAGTAAAAAACTTTAACGTATTTACTGGGAAAGTTATTTTAACACATTGGCTCCTAAACTAAATTCAGAATTTAAAATTTTAATTAATAACATGTAATATTTAATCAATTGATAGCACTAACTATGCTGAAATATCACGTTTCCTTTTTATGAAGTTGGGACATGATTGGGAATTTGGGATTAAACTATTCTTAATCATTTAGAATAATTTGGTCTAATAACAAAATTAACATTTCCTATGATTATTGCTTGTGAAAATAAGAAACAAAGAGAAAAATGTTTTTGCACGTCTACTATAGTGACTAGTGAGTGATGTGGTTTGGTGGCATTACTACAATTTAGGTGTGCATGTGAGTAAATCTTAGCCTCTCAGTTCGCACTGGTCGACGTGACTGGCATCGGAGAAACACTGAGAAAAAGTTACATACACAAACACTCAGCACTAATTTTGAAGTGTACTTACTTTGTGATCTAGCAAAACATATATCTTTCTTTGTTACCGCTTGTGAAAGTATCGAAAAAAACAAACGTTTTGCACGTCTTAGCTCAACTGAGTGAGTGAGTTATGTGGGTTGGTGACTTGGTGGCATTACTACACTTTTAAGTGTGTGAATAAGTTTAAGCCTATCAGTACCACAACTCGACGCAACTGTGACATCGAAGAAACTTTGAGAAAACTTAGATCAATCTAATTTTACAAACACAAAAGATTCAAACCTTTTTATACCACCCACATAATCCCCAAAAATGTATGGGTGAAACTTTTACTAGTAATAGTTCTTCAGCCAAAAAAAAAAAAACCAAGAAAAAGGCCTACTAATACTAATATATATCAACCTATGACACAGTTTAATTTAAAATCCGTGAGGCAGTGACTGTGACGTAGTGTGACCCATAGTAACAGGTGACCAGAAATCAGCACCGTTGGAGTTTTCCACGTGTACGGTGGATGAGACAGGTACTAGACATAATCCTCTGCTTCTCAAGTCTTTAGCTTTCATCGCCGCCATTACATCTCCGGTGACAACTCCACCGTCCTTACAAATGTCGCCGACATGTCAGAATTGTCATTTAATTATCAATAAATAATTAAGAGAGAGAGAGAGACTTACAAGAGAATGGTTGATTAGATAAGGAGAGCAAAGGACTTGAATCTGATCCTGTAAGAATTTGATGTAACCCATCGCTTCATGCAACACAGAAGCTGCATCTGTCTGTCATTAATTTTTTCTTTTTACCAGTCAGAAAAGTCAAATTTTACTATTGCAAATTGGGTCATTTATGGATATTTTTTGGTAGGATTTTATATAAATTCTCTTTCACCCCTCTAAAACAGTACACATTTCACTAATGTGATTGCAATGAAATAAAGAAATATATACAAATATACTTTAATTTATTGATCAAGTTTCATTGTCTTTGATGTCTTTTTGAAGTTCACATTGGATGCCAATTTATGCTACACTACCCCAAATCGCGACTTCTTAAGCTTCCTTTTGGAAAACTCAATATGAATTATAATAATATTCAAAACAAAAGTTTACTATTAAAATTCTTTTCATTACTTTAGTGTTATGATTAGAGGTCTTTCTTGACTTGACAAAATCATAAATTGCATCATTATAAAAGAATTGTGTTAGAAATAAAAAATCACCTTGCCGTATGGAGAAACCAACTGCTGCAACGCTGCAATTCTTTCCCCTAACCTTTCTTTCCTGACCTAATTTTTATATTTTAACATCAACAAAAGATGGAGTAATTCTATAATAATATGTTAAGAGAATAAAAATCTGTAACATTATGGAGGGTTAAATGCCATACCTTTGCAATTCCAACTGATGATTTATCCTGATTTCGCTTGCATTTCTTGTCCGGTTTTCGATTTTGATCTGGCTCTTGCCCATTACCCGTTCCGGTTCTCTTCTTCTTCACAACAAAGTTGTTACACATGAATAATCATCTTAAATTTTCTATAGGATATAAAGATTAAAAGTACAAAATTTGTAATCCTTTACATGCAACAAAAGAGACTTACGTTTGATGATTTAGGTGATTTATCGACCGTACACGCGTCGTTTGAGTTCTTGGAATCGATCTTAATGCATGAAGGGTCAAGAACAGAGACTCCCAAGGAGGGAACAGAAGGTTCTAGGAAGAGTGACTCGTCGTCGTTTTGATATCCTCCGCTAAAACAGAGCATTCTTGAGCCAGTTTTGCCGGAGAATACAAAACCCAAGCTGTCTTCTCCACGATCGCCGACATTACCCTCACGTTGGTGGTCGGAGGAGGAGCTGAGAACGCCGTCAGAGAACATAAGAAGTTCGGAGAAGCTCGTGACTCCTTCAGCTTCCATCATAGCTCGGTCGTTCTGATCCTCTGCGGTATCTCCCATCGTGAATTTTCTTGATTTTCGTGGAAAGAGGTTAGAAAGAAAGAAAACAAGAGAAAGTGAGAAACATTAACCAGAAGAATTTTTTTGGTGAAATGTTTTTCTCTTTACCTTTTTTAGGCTTTTATAACTGGTTTATTTCACAAGATGACTGATGTATTTATTCATATATAAATAAACAATTATTTGTTTTCTTTTTTCTTAACAACACCTGTCTAAATTCTATAAAGGAATGTTTATATGAATAATTTCACAAAACTATCTACCTCTTTGGTGAGTGTTAAACTGTTAATGAAAAAAAAAATTGATACTTTTGTAGTTTTGTTGATATAATGGGTATTCAATTTCTATGACACTTGTATGGATATTTCTGTAAGTATATTAGTCGATATGCAGAACAAACCACAAACCAGGGCCGGCCTTGTCATAAGGCAGACAAAGCATCATGCTTAAGGCCACATTTAAAATACTAAAATTTTGAGGCCACAATATCCAAAAGTAAATCTGTTATATATTGACATTTGTGTTATGTTTCTCTTAACAAGAAAGATGTCTCACGACTTCAGATGATTCATATGCTTTCCATTTTTACTTATTCCATATCTTCTAAATTTAATATTTCTTTTTAGTTTATATATTTTCAATTCTCACTAAAGTCTATCATCTCTCATTTTTTTCAACATTTAAAATGAAATTATAATCAAAGCGGAACTACATGTAATTGAAAACTAAACAATTTCATATCAGAAGTATATAAATTTAATCCAAACTTTATTTTTTAAGTAAGATTTATTTAGTTTTGCACTATAAAATTAAAAATCTAGTAAGTTTTACATTTTATTTTCAGAAAATTTATAAGTAAAAATATACATTAAAATTGTTTTTAAGATAAGGCCACATGTTCAGTGATTTGCTTTAGGCCTCCCACACATTAGGACCGGCTCTGCCACAAACAATATAGTTAAGTGATGATTAGTGTTGATTGATAGTCGTTAAGGGAGGGGTAGAAAGGGAATTTTAGAAATTTTGAAGAGAAAATTGGGTCAAAGCCACCTGGCCCGAGAAAACTGTAGTTTTGATTTACTCGAAGCTGATGTTCCGTTTCTCACCTTTTTCTTTCTTAGTAACTGCTGCTTTCCCTTTGTTTGAGTTTCTCTTTCTAGAACTTAGACAAACAATAAATGTCACACAGTTTACACACATATTCATATCTATTAGTATTCAATAAAACCATATTACCAAACCGTACAAAAAGAAATTAGATTACCATTATCATGTTTATCATATAGTTATGAACATACAGACACATAAAACTACATAAGACTAAATTAAACATAACAAAATTAAAATAAAAAAAATTACTAACTGACATGTACCAGGTTTGACACGTGCAAAGACTCTGCAAACACGTGTGTGGTAAGAAAAAACTGAACTCCACGAGTTAGCAAACCACTAAAATCAATCCATAAGAGGAAATGTCAATTTTTCATAGATTAATCAGTCCAACTTTTGTTTTTTTTAGCCTTCTTTTTTTTTTAACTCTACAAGCAAAAACAATCTTAAAAAGACTTTGGTTTTGGTTAGGTTGGTTTCATATAAGATTTTCGAGTTTCCGACAAGGACCTAAAACTCTTAGGTGTTAGACTACTCGTTACTGTGTGTTGTCCCTTAGCTACATATATCACTTAATTACCCAAACAATCCCTACTCTTTCTTTCGTTATTACTTCAGTGCCACTTCTCCTTTGCTCTGATGAGTTTCTTTCATTACCAAAGATGATATTAAGTATTGTGATGTTTTTGATTCTAAGAATGTAACAATTTTATTCAGGATCATGGAAACAAACAAGAAGCTTACTCAAACAAGACAATGACCAATTCAGCAGTCAAACACAGAAAGTCAAGACAACAAAAAGGAAAGACAAAGACACATGAGCAAACTCAGTTCTTGATATAGCTATTAAAAGTAGATTAGACTGAGATCAAAAGTAGAAAACTGATGGTAGCCATTTAACAAATTGTCCAAGCCTTAAAACATAATTGTTCCAAAACTCTCAGGGACATAACGTCGAACATTTGGTGTGCATTATTATTCAAAACAAATCTCTTTCAACTTCGTCGCTGCTGATTCGTCAATTGAGTACTGCAAATGATTGAAAACAGATCATTAACACAAAGGGTATCTAGAATCTATGATTTGAAAGAAATCCAGAATCTTTGTTACCTTCTTGAGTACCCAAAGTGAGTGATTATAGGCTCGTTGAAAGAGTTCGTCGAGGGATGTTTCGCTTTGGTCGACTTCACGGTAGTTAACGAAATTCTCCCTGGCGTACTTAGCGTAATACGGCCTTGTGTCTGCCGGTAAAAGCCTCACTAGCCTCAACACGCCGCCGTAAACTCTCAGCACTTTCTTCATTTTCCTCTACCTTCTGCAACACGTTACCCAAGTCCAGGTCTATAATACTATCATGTATCATAAACACCTATGGGCTTTTAATGGGCTTCTAGTAATACCATTATGGGCAAGCAATTCCAGACCGGTCAAAACAAGACTAAAAATCTCAATTTATCTTAAACCGGTCTCTATCGATTACAGAAACCAAAACAATTTATGTCAAAACATCTCTCTAGTTGGAAATAACAAAAACTTTCATAGTAAGTCTTAACTTCTTAACCGTTAAAAATGAACATATCATCCAATTTTGAAGAAAATCTTTCTTTCTTTTGCCTCAAATTCGAGGTACCCCAAAAATGCGAAACAAACAACTGAACAAACCCGATGCTTTGCAGGGTTTGATGTCTTCATATCTTGGGGTTTTGGGAAGTATGTGTTCATTTATGTCCTTGCATTAGATCTAAAACCTTCATGATTGAATCTAAAATTTACTTTCTTCTTCTTTTCCGCGATCCAGTATTGGTTGATTCCGATGCCCTGCTCTTATTCTCTGCAACTGACTCAGTTTCCATAGTTTGTACGCTACTTCCAGCAACAGATGTCTCACATTCACCTTCCTTACCTGTTTTTAACTTCTCGACATTTTCCTCAGAAACTAAAGGTTTGCTGTTTATCGACGAACGCCTATTCTTAAACCAGTTATTAACCTACAGAACATAACCAGCTCTTAGTATAGGTGAAACCAGGTCGACTAAAAGGGGGGAAAAAAACAAACAATTTTACAAGGAGAAACTTCTTACTTGCGTAACTGTCATTTGTAGCTCTTTGGCTAAGCTCTCCTTCGTGGCTTTGTCTGGATATCGATTTTCTTGAAAAGATATGTATAATCTCTGCATAAAAGTGGAATCCTTTCAATCGATAGCTCCCTCATAATAATTTAAGTTTCGCTCCTTAAGCCTCAAGACAGCTATATCTTTTTACCTGAGTTTTGGGATCTGTCTGTTTATTTGCTGAAGAGCTGCTTTTTTCAATTTCACCAGAACCACCATTTTCTCCAGGACATTCTTGTGGCACTTCCAAGGTATCCTTTTTATCTGTCCTTTTCGACTTCCGTCTAGGTTTCTTAGAAGTATGATCTTCTGCATTTGAAGACTGTTTCAGAGGTACAATGTCCCCTTCATCTTCTGACTCGGAATCTTCTTTTCCCATTCTTGCAGTTTTATCCCAATCGTCATCATCACTTGACGAAGTCGGAACATTGTCATATTCCTCCTGCACATACCATGCAAAGAAGAAAAATACCATTCAGAGGCTTTTCCAAAACCAAATAGAAGATCAATAATCAAGAAAAGGAGAGATCACTCACATTATACAACTTTTTGTAATCCAGTCTTTCAACATTCCTCCTTCTGGATACACCGGCAGGACCATCATCAAGCCCAACATCTGACTCTAAAATTGCATCACACGGGAGCTGAGACGTCTGTCTGCCAGGATCCTCAAATGGTGTATCTTCAGCTTGCTGATTAGACTCATCTCCTTTGAAGGAAGTTTCAAGATCTTCATAGTCTGATGTACAATCAGAATTTGAACTTTCTTTATCTTCATCACAAGTCGGGGCATCAGGATCATAGTCATCATCCTCAGAATCATCAGATGGAAGGGCCATTATATCTTTCATTATATCTTTCCCTTCTTTAAATGACTCGATCATTTTGTCAGATGCAGATGTAGATTCAGATTCATCAGAACTATCATCTTCGTTCTCAGATTCTTCATTGTCATCACTGCCATCTTCATCATTTTCATTATCATTCAAACCATCTGGATCATACTCTTCATCATCAGAATCATCTGAAGGAAGATCACAGTCAAGATTTTGACCTCCACCAGCCAACGCTGCTGCAGCCTCAGGAAATATTTTCTACACAAAAAATTCAGGGCAGGTGTCTTTTTAAGTGTTTTCTCCTCTTTAACAATAAAAGCATCAACATATATAGTAATATACCTCCCAACTGTCGCTGACCAAAAGTTTTGTCCCTAAAGAATCATTAAGCAAGTCCAAGCTGTCATCTTTGCAATCACATCCGGGGCATAGCCAACTCTCATCATCCGGAGGAACTACAGAAATTAAAACCAACAAAAAGGTCAGCTGTAGATACCAGCAAGAACTTCTTAATACACTACCAAGTACGTAGGCACAGAATATTACTATCTTCTTTCCGCAGAGGTGGTTCAAGACAGTATTGGTGAAAGCCTCGATCGCAAAACCCATCACATAGTATGATATCATTATCAACAGACAAGTCCTTTGAACCACATTTTGCACAAAAGATCTGCGATTAAACAACTGCTCGTATTATCAATACTTCTAGAGACACAAACAGCTTCTATCAGGATAAACAGGGGAACAAAGGTTGAGTTCAGAACAATTTTCTCTTACATCCTCGCTAGAAATCTCTCCATCAGAATCAAATAAAGACTCTGGAAGGCTTCCTTCAGCACAGAGTGTGTCAAGGTGCTGAAAAAGATCTCTAATTTTAAGCTTGCGCCGCAAAATTTCCTTTGTGGCTCGTTCAAGCTCTTTCTCTGGCCTTATCTTTTCCAGGCTACAAAGAACACAAAATCAACAATACTGACTGAAATCAGAAAGAAACCTAACAGAGGATACCTATGTCGCCCAAATAACGCATGAATAAGAGGGAAAACAAATGTCACCAAGAGACAAACCTTGAACCTTTCCAGCCTTCTAAAGAATAGGCGTCAATTAGGTTTTGCTCATAGCTAATCCGGTTTAGAAAGTATCGAAGTTTCTTTTTGATTCTTGTGTACTCATCATCTTCTCTAACTTCTCCTTTCTTCATAGTCTTATTCCTTTTCTTTGGTCGACCTACAGGTGTGGAATTAGCAGCAACCGAAGATGATCCAGCATCTTCCTTAGATCTCTGAGCTCCCTTGTGACTTGAAAACAACACATTCCTTTCTCCACCTCCTCCTAACCTCTTCGAACTCGTAGATGACCTGGACCGATGGATTTCAAATTGCCCGCGGCAAGGAAGACCAATGACAAGTTCACGATGCGACCCTGAAATTTTGGTATTAGTACTAGATCTCTTCTTCCCGGTTTGAGGGGTTGGTTTCAGTTGTTCATTCCCCTTTCCATTTTCCATAATATCATGATGCAAATGTCCATTTTCATTTGCATCATTTGGCATGTGACTCCCTGCCTCTGAATTTTGGCCTTGTTCAGATACTTTGTCAACAGTTGGATTAATCTCTACGTTTGTCTGCTTCAAACCAGATCCACTACTCCTAGTTACCCGTTTACTGGCTGCTCTATGCATTTTCCTCGAAGATAATGCACTCAGGCGTTTCTAAATCAGCAAGGTTTTAAATACTAGTAGATTCCTATAATCAAACAGAGAAGCAAAACACACGTATGTCAGATCAGAATCAATATAAGCAAACACAAGAGGAAAAAAAAACAAGAACCCACAAAAGAAAAATGGGAGCTTCGTAAATAATTTCTGCGATTGCTTCGTGTTGTTCCTAAGTCATTTAAAAGCTACTTACGTTGCTTGACAGAGATCTTAAACAAGACATCAGACAATATTAGATCGACCCTTGATATAGCTTTCTGAGAAAAAGATGAGCACAAGAAAAGAAAAAAAACGCGATAAACTAATCTAAGCTAAAACCAAGAACCCTATTGCTAAGCTGAGTATTGAATTTTTAACAAGATTTTTCTAAAATTTCTACGAAAATAAGAAAACAACCCAGAAATCCATTATTACTTGTTAAGGAACTTACAAAATCGTCTATCACCCAGAGACTAAATGTGAAGTTGTTCGATCTCTCTGTCCGCCAAAAACTTACCTTTTTCCCTCGCCCGATAAATGTCCCGCGAGGATTGAGAATGGGTGAGTTGAGAAGAAGAAGAAGAAGAAGAAGAAGCAGAAGAGAGCCTTGCGCCCAGCTAAAGGGGACGGAGAAACGGTATTATTTGGGCCTCATTATGGATTATACTTTTAATGGGTCTACTTAGGAGGCCCATTCATATCAAATTCGTGGTATGTTTTGGATTTTAGACCAACACTTTTTTCGTTTCAATTAGACAATTACTTACAACAGATGAGAACAGTACTAATTAGTAATTTATCAGCATAATAAACCAACTTTTGTACTATACTAGTATTTCTTGACCAAGACTATCTCTAATGTATTTTTTTTACTTTTATCTCTAAAATATAGGAATTTTTTAATAGAGGAGAGATTCCTCTATTTCTACTCCAATATATTTTTCTATTTTATCCTCTAAAAAGAATATTTCAAATAGATTTTGTTTTATAGTATTAATACCTTAAATTTATAAAGTTGCAAATTAACTCATTTACTTTAACCCTTACAAAAATTTCATAAAATTTTGTTATTATTTACTTCGTTTGGACAATATTTCAATGATATTTGTGGATTCGAAAGTAATTTACCAGAGTATTAATTAATTATTATGGAATGAATTTTTTTTTTTAATAAGATTTTATATAATTTACTTTTGCCAACAATAGTCTTATATTTAGAATAGAGATTTAAACCAAAACCTCTAAAACCAACCCAAAATATTAGTTTATTTATTTTCATCAGAAATAAAAAGAAAATAAAAGTTAGAGAACCATTTTGCAAATAAAAAAGTTTAACTCTATATAAGAAAAAATAGAGATCCTATAGCAAAAAATAAATATCTCTATTTTAGAAGTGAAAATAGAAGTAGGTTGGAGTAAATTTGCCTCTAAAATAGAGTTTATAGTCAAATATAGAAGTGAGTTGGAGATGCTCTAACAACCAAATCAAACAGAGAAGGACCGATATGATTTCATACTTGAGACTTGTCCTTAGACTCTCTGAGACGCTTGTCAAATTCCTTAAGCTTCTCCATGTGATTCACATCTTCAGAATACTGGTCTACCATGGCTGAAAGTTCGAGAGAAAGCTGAAATTGAGAAAATCAAAGCAAATGAATATATATATACACGGTGCGTGTGACGAAATCAAAAGAAAAGGGAAGAAATCTGAAAATTCCAAATACTTTACTGAAAGATAGAAAATGATTACCAAGATTGGAAGAATCGAATATGTACTCTAACTTACAAGGAAGATCTTATGTCAAGCGAGGGTCGTGCCTTAGTTATAGGATTTGAAACAATTGCCTCAATCATTTAAGTGTCAATTAAAAACTTCTATATATAATCAAGTACAATTCGATTTTCTTAAAAAAAAAAAAGTACATTTCGATTTTTTCTTAAAATAAAGTAAAACTTCTATAAATTAATAGTATCGGGACCGTGAAATTCTTTTAATTTATAGAGATATTAATTTATCGACAAATAAATAATTATTAAATTATACACAATTTTGGGTAATTTTTTAATTCTTAAAAAAATCAATCTGAAAAGAAACTTTTTTTTTTATAGAAATCAATATCTTTTTAAAACCAAATTCAAGTTAAAAAATAATTATTTTCCCTCGAAAACAATACAAAAAGATTTCGATGCAGTAAAATATTATAAGTAAACTCTACCAAGAATTAATGCATATTTAAGAAAAACAAAATTTTACTAAATTTTCTTACATATATATATATATATAGATAAGTTTATACAATTTTAATTTATGATAATGATGGGACCGTATAGTTACACAAGATTTTCAAACAAATAATTATTTTACTATTGTATCGAATTATGTTCAATATTACACTAGCTCGATTTGAGACCGGAAAATTTTATTAATTTATAGTGATTATTAATTTATCGATTATTAATTTATAGAGATTTTTTGTACAAACTATTCACAAGTTAAATTTCAATTTACAATTGTGTTTACTTCTTTTCTTCACTAGTTCACCTAATCTATTTGGATGTTTTATAATTGATAAATCATGTTCACAATCACCATAAATCTATTATCATAGATTTAACTTTAGTGAAATAGCATATAGACAATAACATATTTTAAGTTGATTTTTCAGTATTTAAATTTGTCATGTTGTATTGTAGATTTTTTTTTGCAAATTGATAAATTTTTTTTTAAAGGATACAAAACATTATTAATAAACTCGTCTCCGGCCTTCATTACTCTAGGCACGGCTCTGGTTCAAGCTCGCTCGTCGTCATTTTTGAAGAGACAACAACGAAAACAATGCAGTAAAAGAAAATAATTATCGTCTATCTTAGTTTTGGCTCACGAAGGGCAAACCTTTTGAATCATTTAGTAGCTTTGCTTTACTCTTTGGGATTCTCCACCTAAGCTAAAATTACCCTTTTTGACATTTTGGTGCATATATGATTTAGCCGTTTCCAGCAAACGCTTCCAAGTGAGCGTGAAAATTTCCCTCTTTGAACTTAAATCTAGAAAGTTCTATAGCGAAACTTAAACATACATGTGAACAAATTCTGGCCCTTAGGCCAAGCCCGTGAAAGTATATATATATATACCATTAGAAGACATATGCAATTGAATGGTATTCCATATAAATCCGTATTAGACGCTTCTTCAGGTAGGATATATATGCCAGATATGAGATTTGGGTTAAGAAGGTTCAACTAATGCCCAAAAGTAAATTTAATAATTGGACCCCGGATAAACCTAAAACCTTGAATGGTTATGGTTTTTCAAATGGTTTTTAGATTTCATTTTTTTTAAAGTATTTTATAACCATTCAAGATTTTGGAAGAAAAAAAAAATTCCCTAAAAAATAGAAAATCTAGATTCTAACAGTTTTTACTAATTTCTTAATAAAATCCAAAACCTTACTTTATTGAGTTTTTGGGAATTTTTATTTTATTTTTTTTTCATTTTGTTATTTATTTATTTTTTGCAAAATTTTAATAATTGTCCCAATCCAAAAACCAAATAGAAGATCAAACAACATGACGTCTCGTTTGGAAGATGATCGGAAGGAGTTTGTCAGTGGGCAAATGGATTACTGCGTCAAGTGGCCAAATCCGATGTACGTAATTCTTTCATTATATTTTCGTATCTAGTTTTTTTTTTTTTGTTGTTGAACAATTTATGGGAGCATAACTGAGAGATTATTTTATTTGCTTAGGGTTTTGATATCGACGATGTCCAAGCACCAGAAAGAACCACTGGACTGTTGTCCTTCAACTGTCTACGCCCACGTTTTAGGCTTAGGTGTCGGTTGCTCAAGCTGTGCTATGGTGGGGCTTCATCGTTACAATATGCTCAATGTAAAACCTAGATCTCCTCCTACTTTATCAAAATAAGAGATAGTCTCCTTGTACTTTATCAACTTGCTCTGTTTTTTTTTTTTCTCAGGGGACAAATTTCCAGTTCTCTGCCTTACTGAAATACAACAGGTCAATGAATTGTGTCTGCTCTTACTACATGACTTTGGATGCACTAGATCCTTGTAGCCAATTGCAGAAAACCTTTCAGGTTCGAATTGATGAAAAAAGTTTTGGAGATTTGGATTTGACGGTCTCTATTGCTAGAATTAAAGATGAAGAGAGAGGTGACTTGCTTGTGGTGGTGCATTGTTCATGTTTTTTTCTAGTATAAAATCTTAACCAGATTCTGATTGATTGATTACATTATTAATGTTACATAGTGACCACAAAGAAGCGTTTCATACATCACTTTCATGGTGAAGCAGACGCTGATGATTTCTACCAAGGTCCATTGCCTGATTGGCCATCAGTTGATGATTTGAATGATCGAAAACGATTTTACCTGGTAAGTTTGATTAAGACACTGGTTATCAATTCAATTCTTTTGTTTTGCTCATGGTATGTTAAGCAGTGTTTTTATTGTTTCTGCTTTTGCAGGTAAATGAATCAGAGTTGCTAGCCAATGATTGGATTCACCTGTATTTGGAACTTGCACTTTATGTAAAGGATCGGTGGATTTTTCGGGTAAGTCTTTTTTGCATAGCAATTGTGATTTTGGTAATGCTATATTATTGGTAATAACAGGTTTCAAAACTGTTGTTGCATGCAGACTTCTAAGCCCAAGTTGCAGATTCTGAAAGTGGCGATAGAAACTAAGGAAGATGTGGAGCCACCGAATGGGAGACTCCATGTTAAGAGTGCAATTTTCTACATAACTTACAAGGGCATGGCCAAGCCCCCGATTGGTGATGAGATTGGTGAGGATGTTGAACGCAAAGCTATAGTTCGAAGAGTCATCGATGAAAAGACAGGATACTTGACTCTCCTCGGTGGGTTTTCGATTGCGAAAAATGATTTGAATCAATCTGTGAGTGGAGAAGATCAATCCTCTGACAATGAGCAGGGTTATGGAAAGCGACGTCGGATACTGTACATAGATTAGAATCATGAGATGATAAACTGAGTTATCGTGTTGCGTGCATTTGTTTCTGTTGGGTGTTTTTTTAAAGTCTACTGTTTCTGAATACAATTAAGTTAATTTATCAACATACTATGTGACTATGTGTGCAAATTAATGGGGAGATAATTCGTCTTGGTTTTAACTTCTCTAAGAACATTAAAGGACCTAAAGAGATTAAGAAGACAAAACAGAAAAAAAAAATTGAGGTTGAATTTTCAACAGTTCACTAAATCCTCTTTGATTTTTTTTTTTTTTTCATGTTGGCTTTTGTGGTGCTCTTAGTGGAATGCCTGTTATCTAGGGTTCTTCAAGGTCAATTTATCTGAAATAGTAGGATCCTATGATCTTCCTGTGGTGCTTCTTGACGAAGATGAGAGTGTAAATATACTGTTGTTTTTTTGTGTCTTGTACAATTGAATATCAGATCGGAGAACACAATCACTGTTTTGGTTAAGGTAAAGAAGGTTGAATATTTTTCCATTTTCTTTGTTTTTTGAAGCCTAGTTATTTTGCAAGCTATTTGTCATACTCATGTAACAATATTTGATCTTCTTTAACCTTGTTAGATCTACATGTATTTAAAGTCAAATTTGCTTCGCGTTGTTTATGAGGAAGTCAAAATTAATGCTTGCTTAATCTCCTAAGACTATTTATATATGTGGAAATCTTACAGATCAAATTAATATATCATTGTACTGAGAATGTCTCCTTTGTTTTTTTTTTTTGCTAAAAGAATGTCTCCTTTGTTATATTGCATCACACAACACTAGACGATTGTGTGATGTAAAAATAAGATGTGATTGTGTGAACCAAAAATAAGATGTGATGTAATCGTTTACAAATATGGGTTCTTTTATTTGTAATAAGATTTTCTTTTGGTGAACTTTATTTGTAATAAGATTATACAAGTAACAATACTTGTAACAGTATTAAATGTAATGTGCTAATAAATTTTCTCTGGCAGATGTGAGATTTGGGTTGAGAAGGCCCAACTAAAGCCCATAAAGGAATCTATGGGACGAGTATATAAACTGCATCCACCGCTCGCTACCGCCGAAAATTCCGAACCACAACCTTGACAACGAATATGACGTCTCTGTTGGAAGATGATCGTAAGGATTTTTCAGTGGGCAGATGAATTACTGGCGTCAAATAGCCGAATCCGATGTACGTAGTTCTTTCATTTTCTTATCTAATTTCTTCTAGCTTTTTTTCTTTTAATCATAGGTTTTTTGGGAGCAAACATATAATTAACTGAGAGATTGATTGCTTAGGGTTTCGATATCAATGATGTTCCAGTACCAAGAGGAACCAGAGCTGGACTGTGGTCCGTCAACTGTCAACACCCACGTTTTAGGCTTAGGGCTTGTTTACCCAAGATTTATGCTATGGTTGGTCTTCACCATTACAATTTGCTCAAGGTAAAGCTTAGTCTCCTCCTACTTCTCCTCTTGCTACCTACTTGTTCAATATATATATATATATTAATGTATGCAACAACATTTAATTTCTCTCTCAGGGGACAAACTTCCAGCACCATGACTTACTGAAATACAACAAGTCAATGAACTGTGTACGCTCTTACTACATAACTTCGGTTGCTGTAGATCTTTCTAGCCAATTTCAGAAAACCTTTCAGATTCGAGCTGATGAAAAAAGTTATGGGGATTTGGATTTGACGGTCTCTATTGCTAGAATTAAAGATGAAGAGAAAGGTGACTTGCTTGTGGTGCATTGTTCATGTTTTGTTTAGTATAAAGTCTTAACCAGATTCTGACTGATTGATTATTATTAATGTTGCATAGTGACCACACAGAAGCGTTTCATACATCACTTTCATGGTGAAGCAGACGCGGATGATTTCTACCAAGGTGCATTGCCTGATTGGCCATCAGTTGATGATTTTAATGATCAAAAACGATTTTACCTGGTAAGTTTGATTGTTGCTTTTCATCAGTTCTTTTTTTTTTTTTCTTTTTTGCTCATGATTAAGTACTTAAGTAGTGTTTTTATTGTTGCTTTTGTAGGTGACTGAATCAGATTTTCAATCCAATGATTGGATTCGTCTTTATTTGAATCTTGCAGTTTGTGGACGTCGTAAGATGACTTCAGAGGTTTTTGTGTTTCTTTTGCATAAAAATGACATACCATGATCAGTGCCATTGTTGTTAATAATAATAACTAACAGTTTTGTCTTGTTTCAAAACGAGTTGTTGCATTCAGAATGATTTGTCCAAGTTGCAGATTCTGAAAGTGGCAATAGAAACTAAGGAAGAAGATTTGCAGCCACCGAGTAGGAGACTCAAGGCCAAAAGTGCATATGTCTACATAACATTTAAGGGCTTGGACAGGGCTCCGATTGGTGATGAGATTGGTGAGCATGTTGAACGCAAAGCTATCGTTAGAAGAGTCATTGATGAGTATTACTTTACTCTCCTGGGTGGGTTTTCGATTGGAGAAATTAAAAAGCTTTGAATTCTGACCAACCTGTGAGTGGAGAAGATCAAGCTTTGGACAATGAACAGAGTTCTGAAAAGCGACCTCGCTTAGACTAGTTAGATTAGATAATAAACTAAGTTTTTTTGTTAATAACGTGGATTTGTTTCTGTGCTGTTTTTAAGTGTACTGTTTCTAAGTTTTTAAGCTTAACTCCAAGGGCAAACCCAAGTGCCCTTTATTATCCCTACTACTTTTACAAATGCTAACAATAACATGCATATGCATGCACTTGTCATATAGTTGAGTTATTGAGTATTTTGACCTCTTTAATATGCATATTTCTTTATTTCCTTCTCGTGTTAAGCTTTATGTTGCACTCTCTGTGTTTATTTTGTCTCCAAATGTAAGGAAAATAAAAAGTCGATTCTTTTGAAATGAAGGAAAGCGGTTGAATTTAAATGATTAGTGAAAACAAAATTTGGTTTGATTGATGCGAATTGAGTGGTTCAATATTATCCTTAAGAGGAAATTATTATATTTATAGTGCACCTATTACATGCTTTGTTTGAAAAATCGTTAGGCGCTAGTCGGACATTTGGTATGAGCCTAACGATTAATCGGAAAATCGGATTAAAATCGGGGATTAGTTTTAGGGTTATTTTAATATTTTAAAAATATATTAATCTAATATTGTTTTCAAAATTGTAGTAAACACATAAAAATATATTTTAAGGTAAATTTTTATGATTTTTTATTAAAAATTATGACTTTTATTAAAAATTTGAACATAAATTATTGTAAAACATCACAAACTTCCAATTCAAATGTTTAAATAACAAAAAAAAAAGTTGTTTTATACTTGCAATAAAAAAATAATCGGGATACCTAAGAATAGGCGGAAAAAATCGGATTAGACGGGAATTAATCAGATTAGGCGGAGAGTAATCGTGTGACTGATTTTTTAAAAAGATTAGTCATTAATCGAAGCGGAGAAGGTGAATCTAGCGATTAAGCGGGGAGTAATCGGGTTAGGCGGAGATTTTTAAAACAAGGATTACATGTATCATTAACTCCTACCATTTTCTGTATAAGAAATACTGAAAAGTCATTTGGACACCTACTTGTAATTGTTTGGATGCCTACTTGATTTAGTTGCTGACTTATTGGGTTCTCTATCAGAATCTAAGTCCACTATGTATGTTTGGCCGTTTGGGTGACCAATATTCTTTGGTTTCATACTCGTCTTATAACCTTTTTTATAAGTTTGAGGGCTAATAGAATTCCACCAATAAAACGAATTAATAAAAAAATTAATTGTTTTCTTAATTACAAGGACTAACCACTTCGTCTTTAAGAACGACCAATATTACAGAGATACACAATGGTCCCTACAATGGAATTTTCTTTTAGTACACAAATGAGTCATTCTTAATTGTACAAGACAATTTTAATTTTTTTCCATCGACCCAGAAATTTTATATGCTTTTAAATAAGTCCTACCTTAGCTGTAACCACTATCACACACTGAAAAAGTTAACGCGTATGCGTTTTGTTTCTCTTCTTTGCTCTTTTGACCATTCGAAACGAATTTCAAAGACATTCACGTGCTCTTTGTCCTTCTATAGTTCTATTTCTCACGCTTCAAACGTTATTAATTATCTTCAGATTACTTATTTACTGTTTACTTATTATGGTTTTTTTTGGGATTTTTCCATCAATATTAATCTCTAGATTATGGTTTACTTATTTTATGGATAAGAATATATCCTTCAGAAGTATACTATATTATGGTTAGGCCTCATTTAAACATAATCGATTCAGACGTAACTATAGCCGGGGTGCTACTATGCTAGTGTGGTTGCATGCCTCGGAGTCATAATTATAAACACATGTCGGTAGAAGTATAATTAACTATCAAAAATCAATCGTTAATCAATAAATAATTAAAAAAACTAGTTGATCAAAGAATATATTACGCCATTAATAATACCTTAAAGACTAAAAAGTTCTCATCACATGGTATGAGATAGAGACATATAAGTTCGGAATTAATTGCTACGTAAATATTCCTGGAAATGTTTTTGTTAATGAGTACTTCCTCTGTTTCGTATTAATTGTCGTTTAAGGTTTTCTCACACATATTAAGAAAAACATTAAATTTTCTGTTTTACCTTTTATTAATATATTTTATAAAAAAATTCATTGACCGAAACATTAAAACAGTAAGGATAAAACTGGAATTTTCACAAAACATTTGCATCGAAAACCTAAAACGACAACTATTATATATGAAACAAAATTTTAACTCTAAAACGACAAGTAAAACGAAACGGAGGGAGTAGTATTTTGTTCGGGAGGAGATGATAACATTAATATTCACAGGAAATTTAAATGGAGGTTATAATGAACATTCATGGTTTAGTTATTTCCTTGCAAACGAAATATCAAGATGGATGTTGCAACCGTACTACTACTAATTGACTATTGACAAAATTCAGTTTCTTTGTTTTTTTTAGCAAAAAAAATAAAATAATAATACAGTCTCTCTATTTATATACTTTCCACGTCCACTTAACATTTTTACGTGATTTAAAAAGTAATCTATTATGCCCTACATAAAACAATTGAATTTCTTATTTTAATTATAGACTACATTTTATTATTTTGATTATGGATAAAAATGGAGTACTATGTTAAATAATTTCACACATACTACAAAATATGAACATTGTATCATATCATTTATGAATATATTTTTGTTCTTCACTAAAAATTTAGTATTTTTAATCTATTTAATCAAATAAATTTATATTTTATGTAATATATAATATTATATTAAAGTTTGAAGTTATACGTAAAATTTGGTATAATGTACAAAAACAACATTGTTCTGACACACAATTTTGATTTAAAAGATATATAGTTTTGAGTAGTATAGTAGAATAGACCAATAATCCTGTAGTCATTTGGCCGATGATTGAAATAAATTTTTTTTATATCATTAGTAAAATAGGAGAATAGACAAATGACCAAATAACATAAACATTTTAGCTGAGTATAGTTATTAGGAATAATTAAGATGCTAATACATTGTTTTTATACATTAAAGACACTACACTACTTTTCTAGTTATATTTTAACATGTTTATTCTATATGTAACGAAATCACTTCAAAAATGATTAACAATGAAAAATAGTAGAATCACATTTTATTTTTAAAACGTGAAATTACGTATAAAATATTTTTAAAGACAGTTTTCTCCTAACAGGTCGAGGGGATGATCTATATACCAGCTATATTTGTTTCGTTGTTGTTGGCATCGCTTTTATTTAATTCAGCTGGTCATTACTTCTTTGTAGAAGCAGAAAATAAAAAGATATGAAAAGTGCTCCCCTACAAAACAGAATACAAAATCACAGTTCTTAAAGCTACCATTGAATCTCCTAATATTGTTAGTATAATGTAAGAAGCCAAATTATACTCACATAAAGCCCCCTAAGCATGTCTATGTGAGGACTGAGGAGTGTGTTCAATCATTATTACATTACAGAACGAAAGTGATAATTGTAAAACAAATTACATTTTTATTATATAAACATATATAAAGAAGAGTTGCTATCTTTACGCAATTGGCCAATGAAACCATACACAAATGGTTGTTCTGTCTGTCGGATAAAGAAGAAACCTCTCCTAAGACCTCTTTTTTGTTCCTTTCTCTTGAAGAAACACACTACTCAAATAATAAAATTTAATCTCTTTATATCTCTATATCCATTTGTAAAATTAATAATAACTTCAATTATCATCCTCTGTGTAGACATATATACTTTATTAGAATCGCAAAAGAACTAGCTTGGAATGCTTCTTTCCTATTCGCAACTATATATTGTTCAATAGTTTGAGAAAGAAAATGAAGAAAAATATGTATACTTGCCATGTGATGCGTGTATTCTCTATTAAGTCAGGACAAAAAACTCAGGACTTGTTTAGAGATATAGTCAAGACTTATTACGATCCTGTACTATATTAAAATTAGTGATCTATTTTAAAAGAACTCAAGATCGCGGGAAAGAAAAAAGAACTCAAGATCAATGATCAATTTGAAAGTATCTACAATCTAATATCTTACATGATACTTATAGTTTGGAAAGCATTTTGGGATGGAAATACAGTGGTTGAATTATAAATAAAAATGGATTTAAGTAATAAATTTCTTTAAAGATCCCGACATGTAGTATAGTTATTTTTGTTAGGGTCTAAAATAAGATATATCAACTATATATATCTAAGTTGATAGAAAACTTATAATGTGAATTAAGATTAGAGAACGAATTTCACAATCTAGAAAACTCGTTGTAAACGTTTTTAATAGTAAGAACACCCTATTTTCGTAAGGTCTCGATGATTAGCCCAAGAGCTACCCCCTCTTGTTAAAAAAATAGATTCAAACCCATGAAAATGATCATTTGGAATTGGAAAGAAAAAAACAAATAGATTACCATTGACAGGAAACAATCTAGAATCAATTACGGAATGACATTTGTGGATTTTGACGTCTTTTTGAATAGTTTATTAATTTTGTCCTTTTTCAGGTTATAAAAATGTGATTTAACATGCGTTTTATTCGTTATATTTGGGTTTAGTCGGTTTCATTTGTTTTTTGGATTTAATATTTAGTATAAAATATGCGTTTTTTGAAAACAAAAAATTGTAAATACGTATATTTTGAAGTGTTAAAATTTTAGTAAAAATGACATTTTCAAAAGATTTTGATGAAAAAAGCCAAAATCAACAATAATCCCAACAATCTATAACCAACCATGAGAAGAGGCCGACATTTTTGTACAAGAACATTTATAGAAATGTTTTGTAAAACAGTACAAAAGAATTGCAAGATAATCTGTATTTTTTTTTTACAGTAATAAAGAAATTGCAAGATGTACAAATCGAATTTAGGCTACAGGTTAAAATAAAAGTAGGTTAAACAGTCCTCTTCCTAATTTACCGCTGCCACTTTACTATTTTTATTTTTCACTGTGAAACTTAACGACACTGTCCTTTTTTATTATTCCTGAAACTTAACGAAAACTGTTTTAAAAAAAAAAAGATCGTCCACCATCCTTAACGGCGCAAACCCCACAAAAACTTAGCGAGTACCGTTAAACTCCAACACTCGCCATCTCTGATCATCCACGTGTCCCTCATGCGTAGCCAGGTTGGAAAGAATATATTACCGGCGCGTGAACTTGTCAGATCGCGCGTGGCTTCCTCAATTGGAAATTCCACAAACAAGGAGAGGGTAAAATGGTCATTTAATATCACCCCTGAGAGATCACTGTCTTCCTCTTTCGCGTTCCTCTTCTTAAAAAATGCGATAAATAAAGAGAAGAGACTCTCTCTTCTTCACTTCGCGAACTCAGAAAAATCAACTCTCTCTCTCTCTCTCTCTCTCTCGTTAAAAACCCATTTTTGTATAGTTCAAGCTACGTTACTACTACG